TGAATGGCGTGAGACGTCAACTGCTGCGAGGATGGCTGCGGGCTAAGGAAGCGTTGCAAAAGGTGTCACATGCGCGACATTTGCACCAGGACCCAGTTGATTCGAGAGGTGGCAGTGTTGCACTGTGGTAGATCATCCAAAATTATCCAAATAGAAAATGCACTGCTAGTTTGTTCGCGTGACCGCAGCCTTCAATCGACAAAAGTTGCTCGTCCTCCGAGAACAAGTAGTTTGGTCCAAGAGGTAGCCTCGCAGCAACGTTCCCGCCTAAAAGCTAGTGTCGAGGGCGCTCATGCTGTCGTTCCTCCCATTGGCCCGACCCGCCTTCATCGGCCCCGCCCATCGCGCTACCCTGCCATAACAGCAAAAAAGTTTGCCGGAGAACGTAGGAAGGGACATCATAATCAGGAAGAAAACAGCTGGGATGGTGTGCGGCGACCGGTACAACCACAGGACCGTAGTTCGGTGATTTCTTTCGATCACACCTTTGCTCCACTGTTCTCGAGGAATGTGCTCCCTGGAGGTTTACAATTGAGGCGTTTTCTCCGGTTTCTTCTCAACCAGTGGCTTCCTTGGCATCTTAGCATTCATCTTTGAGGTACTCAGAATAGTGATCGCACGCTTTGCCTTTAGATTCTAACGGCTCTCGCATGGAATTCGAAGGATGTTTTAGTGCTACACATGTTAAAATTTAGGACCACTGATTATCGAGCCTGCACACACAGATTCTCTCAGTTATTGAATCCTTCTTCGTCTCTGCTATTCCCTGTACAGAACTAAAAGCGATTGAGAGGGGAGGGGTCAAAGAGACTGGCTATATGCGCGCTGCAAGGCTTGACCAAATGGGTGGATAACGCTGTAGAAGAACACGGTAAATCTGCCAGCATCTTCACCCATTTCTATGCTTCTTCGCTAGTCGCGGAATATGTTTCTAGCTGCGGCACTTGGATATATCCCTTTCTGATACCAAGCGAGAAACCGAAGTGCCCATTAAATGGTTGAGTGAAGGCGGGAATGATTGTGTGTTGTCCGCCTTGTAGTATTTATTTCAAAATTGAGTGGACTCTGTTTCCGATTTTTGTTATTTTACTCCATTAATCGTTTCCTTTCCGATCAGGTACTATGCGTTCAACTTGATCATGCCGTGCATGCTGACCATGGTACTGGTGGTGCTCGGGTTCACTCTTAGTCCAGAGACTTGTGAAAAAGTCGGTCTGCAGATCTCCGTATCTTTGGCTATCTGCATTTTCCTGACAATAATGAATGAGATGACTCCACACACTTCTGAAGCGGTGCCCTTGCTTGGTGAGGACTTTGATTTTAGCAGGGGAAATCGACTCACTGAGTCTTTTCGGGCAATTCCTTTGGGCTACACATTCCGTTAGCTTTTCTTCCATTCCTCAGCTATCCCAATTACAGGTGTCTTTTTTCAAAGCTGCATGGTGATCTCGGTGCTAGCAACTTCCTTCACCGTGTTCGTGCAGAGCTACCATTTTCGTAGCCACCACAACACGCTTCGTATGGCATTCTGGGTTAGTGGAGTTTCCATGATTCAGAGCGGTCTAACTGCAAAAATATCTTATCGCGAGAACGTTGAGCTATGGGCAAAACTCTTGACTTCAGTAGGGGCCACCGCTACGGTTCGAATGCCCTATCCTGTATCGGGCTAGGCCTTCGCCCATAACTCAGCATTCTTGTAATGAATTTCGGGGCACGAACGTTGACCTGAGAAAAAGGGAGTTAAAGACAGCCCCCGCGCTCGAGTAGTCCATGGTCGTCCTTCCTTGTGCAGGTAGTTCAGCCCCCAAGCTAGAGACTATCCCACTCTCGCGACTCCACAGTGAGCGAGAAGCGAGCTACAGCCGCTCAAAGTTCTAGTTCTAACGCCCGCTCAGTTGGACCGCCTCACTTGCTAGCTGCCCTCTGACGGAGAGCCGCTCAGTTGCTCTTTGTTGGGACGGCGGGCAATACTCGGGATTGCAAGTCATTTTTGCAGACCGCGATGGTGCCCTTAGATAACTCTGCTCTCCTTTATCACATTTCATTCATTGAGAGCACATACAGTCAAATGCAACCATCTCGTAAGGTAAAACGCATATAAATCAGAGTGATGCAAATTTTTTTTGATGGTGGGCAAAGCTAACTGCACATACACTTAAAAGCGCGTTGCCAAAAGTCCCAAATTCGGCGAGGCGCGTGTCTTTGAAAAGTTTTTGTTTTGCTTTCAGGGAGTTTTTCTTCCGAGTTTTTATTGTTTTTCGTATTCTTTTCATTGCATTGGATGATATCCACTACTGAGAGATGTGATAAAGAGATTTTCGAGCCAGGGGTTGCCCACGGATCGCAGGGCGGTGTAACTGTAAGGGAGCAATTTCGTTTGTGGTGTTCTTGAGGGCTCTTGTTGCTTTTTTTTCCCTCACTGAGGAAGTTACTTATCAGCCACTGTTTCATAATTGATCAGCAATTATTCTTGCCGGCTTTGTCGCGGGAGCTGTCTTTAAAGTGAGTTGTTCTGCGGTTATTATAATAAACAAGTATCGAAGCAGGGGAGTTATTTCGCGCGTCATTGAGGCAATACATATAAGAAATTCTGGCTACCTCCTAGATCGGTCTACTATATGTACTAACCTAACCGCGCCGGTCGAATGCTCGGGTGGCCTGGGGACCAAAGAATCTGAGCCTGATTCGTACAAATGAAGAGCGCGTTTATAATATATGCCGCTACACCTTCTTTAAGTCATCATTAATTTTTGAAAAATGAATAGGAAGATAGGTCACGGGCAACACTCTATGCGCTTCGAAACCGGTTTAAGTGTGAGTCAAAAACACGCAAGATTTTGTGGGCTATTAGACAAAGACAAACTGTACACTGACTTCAAAGAACAGTCCCGTCCATGTGCGAGTGAATGCGTCCGAAGGTGCAGTAGCGTGCCACTTCTTCTGCTCGAAAGTGCAGGCTGCAAAGCAATGTCTCCGTACTCTGCCCGTTCTATAATCAGTGTGGCGCTTGCGTTGATATCAAGGTACCGGAGCAGAACTCAGCGTCAGTAAACAACTGTAAGTGAGAGGATGTGGACACATAATGAGTTTGGTTTGGCGTGTGGCCGGCCATGCGGCAGCGCGGCAGAGTATGGACGACGCTCGAGTATCACTACCCTCCAGCCCCGTTTCCGTGCACTTCTGAGCGAACAGAATGGCTTGCTACTGCAACTGCAGGCCCTTCATTCTGATGGACAGGACAGTCCTCGCAGGTGACTGTACAGTTTGTCTGATGGAGTCTTTGTCACGCAGATCTGCTACTTGTACTGTTTGTAGTGCGCTTCTGTGAAACAAAGATAACTGGGCCCTTTTCGTGAGATTTGTAGTTTCGCGGTACAGTAGAAACGTCGCGCAATCAAGTAGAGACCTAGTCTGCAATTAGAGAGTGTACCGACTCTTCTTGATAAAGTGTGAGATAAGGTCCAGAAACGTCTGGCTTGCAACCCTTCCGGTCTCAAAGAGCCGTGGTTGGGTGAGCGATAGCAACTTACTTGGTGAACTGCCAAACTCTGTTGTCTGCAGCATCCAGGGACGATTTCACGTACTCTTCGCGGGATCGAAAATGTGTTGACAATTGCTGATTGCGCTCGTGCTCGAAATCTTTCTCTGAAAAAGACGCATGCATTGAAAAGCAATTCATTTGGTAGTGTTGGCTGCGGGAGTCGTGCAAGTTTCCCGATAGGTCAGTTCACCACCAACTCGCAAACGGACAATCTCACCTGGGGACCGTAAAGTTGTCTATTAAGGTCACCCTCTAGTGGGCCAATCGAAACTGTATACAGGGGGGGGGGCAAAAAAAGTCACTTCGACCGAGTCACATATCAGCAAAGTTTTCGCAGCCCAGAGAGAAGACGTGGATACGAGTACCAGGGCGGAAGATACCCAAGATGTTCCTCTATAAGCAGGAGCTGGCTCTCGCCCATCACCTTCATGTACACCAAAATATGAAGTCATCTCCAGTCGCAGCCTGACTGGAGAAGACCTTTGGAATTCATGTCACCTCTCCTATGTACATTTGCGAAACTTCTATGTGTGTGTCATTCGCTCATTCTAGCCTTGGATTCTTATTGTACTTAATTTCTGATATATCACTTTTCTCAGCATTTCGCTGCAGCTTTCCGTTCATACTGTTCGCTATTGGTTTCTAGTGTATCTACATTCTTCACTTTTTCTTTTTATCTAGTCGCCAAGGCGCGGTTGATGGTGAATGGCAACCAGGACGTACCTGGAGCATGGGAGACCAATATTTTCTTCGTGGACCCCGGGCTGAAGCTGAGCGCTGGCGGTTACATCGACCAACTCAAGAAGAATATCTTCCCCACATGTCGTCGCCCGTACCTTCTTGGAAACTTTGTACTGCTACAGCATTTGGTGCCACCACGTGGAATCGAAGGGCGTTGGAAAAATACTTCTTGCGCTACCTAGATGGAAGGCTGAGTACCTAAAGAAGATGGAGTTTTTTAAAGTAGCTTACTGAACTAAATCCCCTAAGTTACCCGGTTTGGGCGGAGTTCAATAGGGTGGTCTACGGTGGCGGAGAAATCGACTATCTCGCTGATCTCAGGCACCACATCGGTTGCGTGCCAGAATCTCTCGATGGCGCTCCTCAATATGCTCTTTAATATGGTGGTAGAAATGTCCGATCAGAATTTATAAAGTGTAACTTATAGCGCCTCGAAAGTCAATGAAGCAAAGTGACTTTTTTGGCCCTGTAATGTATGAAAGGCATTGAAAAAATTCTCAAAACAAGAATATGGAAAGGTTCTATGACACTAGAAATGAGGAACTCATTGAACGGTTGCAAAATCCAAATTCACATCAGAAATAGGCGTAATGGTCTCTATGAGTGGAGAAAAACCAAATAGTTAATGGATGACCTGACTGGGAAGGGCTGCTATGCTGCCGCTAGCTACTCCAACTCATTAGTGAAGCATTTGTATCAGTGCGTTCAATCGTCAGGTAGCCCTAATCTGGCAAAGAGTTTTCCGGCTTTCTCCTGGAGCTTCTTTATAGTATTTTTCGTTTACTTTCACTCTTGAATGGCGTTTGGTACTAAATGAAAACGATTTGTGAGGCAGGAGTGCAAAGACAACCATGGGACGGGCAAGATTCGTAACTACGACTGCGCGCCTGGCAAAGGGTCATCATTCAGAGCGGGAAGAATTTTTCCCTTTTTTTACTGGAAATCACTCAGCTTCATACCCACAATCTTGTGGCTTATCTGAAGCGCTTCTGTTTTACTTTGAGACAGGGAACGGGACCAGTGGTTTCAGATGCGATTTATACTACTTGAGTGGGCTCCATGGCTTCTGCGAATGGAGTTCCCCGAAAGGAAAAATACCATATCGACGATAAAGGAAAGCTGGGCAAGTCGAAACCGAAAGCGACGGGGCACAATCACTGCGTTCGACTTCGTGCAGGTAATGGACCATTTCTCCGGCAGCTTGTTACTACAGTCTTCTACCATTCAGACAGATGATGTTGGTGCAAGCAGTGTTGGATTAGCCGTGAAGGAAAATCTGGACAATTTTATTTCCCAGGTGGATATTTTTATGATTCGCTATCTGCGGTGACAGTTTTCTAGAGAAGCTTGTTTCTAGGTCAGTGCCTCAATAAAGGACGACGACAGACTCTTGGAACGCATTCGAGTGCTTCAAAAAATCCACGATCACGTCAAGGTGGGGATTCTGTATAGTGTGTAAAGTCTCTTGTATGTTACGAAGACCGTTGCTAGTAGGTTGGAAGGAAAGTTCTGCGACACTTTGGCAAAATTTTCGAACCAATTTTCCTTCACTAAAAGGCACCTCCAATCTACAAGGTAATCACCATTAATGACTAGGACTAGTGCCCAACCTTTACACCTCATTTCCACTCTTGTAGAAATACGGTAACTACGTTAACAGGAAGAGTGGGATGTTACGTAAATACACGAAGGGTAGCCGTGTAATTGCACACCACTGCCGACTACCGTAATCCCACGACTGTTTTCATCCGCTCATAGGGCACAGTGAATGTACTCTACGCTGGCCAATACGAGTATCAGCAGAGTTTCTTTGACATTATCGTTTTCAAGGAAACTTTTGTGCTTCCTCTGCCTTTGTACTACTGTCGGCACGGCCCTCCCCGTTCAGCTGCAAAAACGCAATCCTTGGCCCTATTTACCCTTTTTTAGTTTTCCAAGTTGAGGTCGCATTTTCGATTCGTCTGAAAATTGTCTCCAGGGGTACGTCGACTTCCTGAACACGACAGT